ACTGCCTTCCAAACTGCATAGCCATTCATAAAAGACAAGACTATGTTGTTGAGGTTTGTTTTGGATTTTTTTTATGGGGGAGAGAAGGGGGAAGCGGCAGGAAGATATCGTTAATAAGCAGCAGTTTCTTGTATTTATAAAAGAATCTACTAGCAATTTGTATTTTACAGTAACTTTTCCTTCTCTTATTTAGAAGTCTACTGTTCTACTGCTGTGTAAAAGCCACATAAACAACAAAAGCACATAGGTCATTTTTTCTGTTGTATGCTCAAAACTAAAGCAATTTTTCTACTACTTGTTATAGTATTCCTAAAAGTAGTTGTGCTAATATTCTTATATAAAATGTCTTTTAAGGAAAATTATGGATACACATTAAAAAAACATTCATTTCAAAATTTAAGAATTATTTCAAGAGCTATCTTCAAAGAGAATGCACAGTATATTAGTCCTGAATGATTTGGTGGCCAACATTTCAAATTGAAGAAAAAAAGAAAACAGCAAGTTTTCTTCTTCTGAAATTAAGTTTAGTTCACCTCTATCGTGACCATATTTATCAATGTGCATTCTAGTTTACAGATACAGGTGTAATAACCACACCAAAACCGATTCTAAGCACAGGCACAGAGATCCCATTCCCCTAGAGGCAGCCTGTTGAGCCAGAGCTGTCAGAGCTCTGATCACCAACCTATCTGCATATCGAAAGACTACAGTCCTGTTTCTGCCTTCTTTGCCTCCTTCTGTTTAGGCAAAAGGCAAGTAACACTATACCTGTGGTTGTTTCATACTACATAAATGCTGGGCATGGGGTGTTAAACTATGGATACAGCATACAACTCTTATGAGCAGCTCTGCAATAACAAACTTGTATATGCATGTGATGAAAGATTTTTTTAAAAAGGGAACTCGGAGAGGAAAACTACAACTGTTGTTACATTAAAGATTTAAAAAAAAAATAAATAAAAATCTCAAGTATTCACACTGTGGATCATATGTGCAGCAGATGCAGGAACAGATCAGGTCTGGCAGGATTACCAGCAGAAACCTATCACTATGAGAGCACAAGGTACCTGAACTGGCTTTGCAGGTAAACAGTATAGCTGCATTTCTACAGCTCTGAATCCTAAAGTATTAAGTACTGTATGATCTAAACTGACTCTGCAATTACAGTCTTTCTGTCTCCGCACCAAGTCCCAAGAAATACATGTCCAAGCGCAGAGACTCCAGTTATACTAGATTCAGCTGAGATCCAGATGAATACTATCTCATATCTTATGTGGCTAGCTCCACAGGGACTCACAGCCTCCTCAATACATTCCCCATGACTAAAATCCAGGTGGCTTATTAGACAAGCTGTAGTGTCACACAAATGTGTCAACTCAGTTCTGGGCCAGTACTGCATTCAACTTCATAAACCACCCCCATCAAAAAAAACTAACACAGAAATGCCAAGAGGAAAAAACACCACCTTTATGACGTTAGAGTAATTTGTACCAAGTCCAAACTGATTCTTCTAGATGCAATGACAGGCTTATAATATACATATTCACATCAACAGCACATTAATTCACTTGCAATGCTGTAAGCAATCTTACTTCACATGTACAAGCTGAGCTGTGCTCAAGGTAGTAAAACTTCCTGGAATTCGTAACACTGAAGTTCAGTACTGAGATCTCCTGGTCTCTCTGAATCAATATGGACTCCCAAGGACCAGCATCTACACATAGCTAATAAGCCTCACCAAGCTAACTGTTTCTGCAAATGTCAAATGCCTCTGTGCTGCCTGGTATCTCTATCACATGGGTTATTCCAGCTCCTTCATGATAAGCATGAATAGTAGTAGCTTGTAGTAAACCATAAACACATTGTCTACTTATACCCCACTATATATTATAATTAAATCATTCTTAGAATAAGATCGTCAAGAAAGATGTTTGGCACATAACACAATAATGGTGAAAAAAGGCTTTTTGAACAATAGTTGTGCCACAATTCCTAAATTTAGCTTCTCTAGTCTCTCTTTGGATACCAGGACTATCAGCCCCTGGACAGCATATATGCACCATCCAATTTCCCAAGCCAGGACCCAAAAGTCCCTTACGTACTACACCATATGTATACATCCTCACACAGACCCTAGTATTTTTTCCTACATCAACACATATCTGCCCTGCTTTTTGATTGAGAAGTTCAGGTACATCTGAAGACATCACAAGGGGCCACTATGCAGGGTAGTAACTGCTGGTGCTGATGCAAGCAAAGCTGGGAGCAGTTGCCACCCATCTTGAAGAGATTCACATTCCAAACTTACCATAGGTCAGCTAAGATAACTTAACTGATTTACAGAAAACTAAGACTTTTCAAGTAATAGTTAAAAACTTACACAGTGATTGTAAAAAGTGCATACTGGGATTACAACCTTCTATTTATCATGTACTACATATGTATCGTTATAAGGTAAGCAAAATAATTACCAGACGCCTCAATATGTCCATTATACAAACAGTCAGGTTTACAAAAAATCAGTTTCTCTCACACACACCAAACCATGACCCTGGTAGAGCCAAGACTCAGTATGACTTGTCAGGCATGGAACCGTGCTTTCCAACTAGTAGCTGACCATTCAAAACCCAAGACACTGGCTACAACCTCACTATCAAAAACGTATAAGTCAACCAGAAAGGAGGCTTGTGGGGCTGAAAAAAAAAATCAGCTTTCACTGACAAGTAGTATGTACCATCTTAGTGGGACCACACAAAAGAAAGGGAACACAGCAGACAGCAGTGTATAACAGTTGAAAGTATAGGGGAAGACAACTGCTCTAACCTGCTGTTAAGCAAAGTTCTCTGGTGACCCACCTACTTGAGTTACATGCTCCTGAGTTAGTCTATTTCTTTCAGTTGTTAAAGCAAGACTAACTTCAGTGCAAGCAATTAATCCTAGTCTCTTATCAGAATGGATTTATTTGCCCAGTAACTGCAGCTTAAAAAAAAAAAAAAAACAAACTCAAAAACACACAACGGAGACAGCATGGCAAGGAGGTTTGCTTTTGCAAGTAAATGTGTTAAAACTTCTGTGTCTGATAAACTGGTTACAATAAAGTTCCAGTTTTCATACTGAAGTCACAACTTCAATTTAGCTTCTGAATGTTAAGGGCTTCTCCAAGACACCACAGAGAGAGCCACCATGTTTCTAACTGACTAACATACAACTAGTTGTTAAAACTTCAACTGTTATCAATGTGTTCTACTTCATATGCAATTAGTTTCACTTTAGAACCACTTAAACCTATGCTATATTACAAATAGGAAAGGTTTGGGGTTTTTTTCCAAAACAAGATCAGTAATCAACTTGTTGAACTGTAAACAGACCCCATTAGGCAGAAACAAAAACATAATATACCGGGCAGAGAATTCAGTTAAGTTCATCACTATTCCATCTTAACTTCAAACAGTGAAGAAAAGCAGTATAATGCCTATCAAAGATATTATCTTTGGTAAACTCCAGAAATTATCAGAACGCAGTGAGACATTGTTTTATTTTAGAACTCAGCACAGTTCTCCTTCATTCCTTGTGTCAGGTGAAGCCAGGAATAACTATATCCTAAATTCTGATGAGAATTCCCTATGATGCACCAGAAAAATCCTCCTTCTAGCCACCACCTCTCTTTTCCCTCCTCTGTATTTTTAACTTTGCTGTCAACCTGTATGTATCAAACTCAGCAACATTAAAAAATTATACTCTTGAAAGTTTACATTGTTGATGGTCTTCCCAGGAAAAGAAAGAAACAGCCTTTCTTTAGAAAGGGTGTCTGTTTTGATTTTCTGTTGACAAATATTTGGAGAGCACACAGAAATTAACCCATTCTTGCTCCCACCAACAGGTCTGCTTTGGAAGGGGTAACGAAGTCTAGGTTACTGGGACATTATGAAAACATTAGTGGCAAGTTGGGAAAAAGTAGAGGAAAAAGATTCTTGAGCCCTGTACCAAAAATTCAGACAATATTAAGTCATCCTATCATTTCTATAGTACTTTATACTAGAAAAGGAAATAGGTACAGTAAACAGCTCATGTAAACACTCTGCCAGTCACTGACAGTAACTGAAAATTTGGTCTCAGGCTCTTCATTTGTTTTTAGACATGAAAGTTAGAAACAGTTTACATACTTCCCTAAGATGCTGCACCACCTTCTCTTCCAATTTTTATATGAAAAATGTTTTCAGAGGCAAAGAAACAGCTTAGTCTTTCTAAATACTCTCACTTCACCTTTTGCTGGAAGACAAACTGAAAAGTGCCAAGTAGTGAGAAATGTTACTCTCTTTTTCTAAAAATGCCTGATATCATGCAGTGTGATCTAGAAACATACAAGTCCAACCAAAAAAAAAAAAAATCATAATCAAGGAAAAAAAAAAAAACAACAACAAAAAAAAAACCAAGAAAAGCATTGGGGTTTTTTGTTGTTGTTCAGAAGGATTATCTGAATCCCCAATATTTACCATAAAAAATTTAAAAGAGAAAGAAAATGTTTCCTCAATTAGAAGTATCACATTCCAAGTAAGCATTAGATTCTGAAATTAAGAACACTAGTTATTGGTTAAGTGTTCTAGACTGAAACTTTCAACTGGCAATCTAAAGTTGCTGTAAAAGAAAACTGGACACAGATTTTATTTCATCCCCATACCTAACTATTAAGTGTTAAACTGACAAAATTACACAAAACCCACACCACAGATAAGAAGAAAATAATCTTTGAAAAGGTTGGGAAAGAAAAAAGTAAAAAAACCCAAACCACTAAAAAAAAAAAAATCAAACACAGAAATTGTCAGCATACTTAGAGACAGTTACATATTTCCACTTTAAAAAAAAAAAAGGTCTTTCTGAATAGCATCTCTATGGAATTATGATGGAAAGCTAAGCTATCTTCTACTATTACTGGGATACTTGGGTAAATATTATCCACACAAGCATTATAACTAGCATTACTTAATAAACAAAGCACATACCACTCTGGCTGCTCTTTCCTGAGATTCACACTTCCTGCAAAACCAAGGTCCAGTGGGTACTTGCACAATTCCATAGCAAGCTGTTTTGAACAAGACAAAAAAATTCAGCAAACATAAGCAGCACTACAGTACTACTAACATGAATGTTATAAAAAAAGCTTAGTATTAGTTGATCTCACATCATTTTAATAAGTCAAATTGACATCTATACATTGCACATGAAATCCTTTCACAATGGTACTAGAAATGAAGTACAACAAGCTTCCATTTTAAAAATTTATGCAAGATTTGTTAAACTTGTTAAATAAAAAAAAAAACTGATTAGCTTGAAAAGTAATATAACCATTCAGAAGCAGCAATGTTTCATATGTGATCTGGTTTGCTATTTAATTACCAGCAAAACAGGCAAAACACTTCACAATAACAAACATCCATCATTTATAGTAAAGTCTCTTTCAAGAGAAAACTAAAAGCAACTAACAAATCTGAGTTTGTCATAAGACATTATTACACTTAGTTACTATCAAGTTCTCTTAGTCTTTGTAAGTAAAATAACTGGTCTTAAGTAGGAAATCCATAATAAACTGAAGATACAAAGTTTGCCTTTTTTCCCCCCTGAAAATTCATGTGGAGCTGTAAATACAAACTAAAGGGAGGATCAGGGCTAGGACTAGTTGCAACTGTAGCCCGACTGTAGCCAGGCTACAACATAAATCCTTAGGAAAGAGATTTTCAGACATGCAGATTTCTCTACAAGACTGTCATCTATATTTTTATGGTATATTAAAAAAACAGGAGTTTTATAAGAAATTCCACAGAAAAAAAGAGTTTAGTAATTTGGCGATACTGTTCATGTTTGAAATGCACATATCAGGAAACTTTAAGAGCTGCTGAGGGAATGAAAATACAAGAACACAAGTGCTGTGAGCATATTCTAGTGTCTGTATGGGTTTAACAACTAATAACAAACAATCAAAAAGCCATCATCTTTTTGCTTTCCTCAAAAAGATAATCCTGAATCTGACATCATATTCTTAATATCTCAATTCCCAACAATCATATGTTACTTAAATAAGAAAATCTGATTTAAGTGTGTAACTAGAAAAAATAATATATATATGATAACTTTATAGTTAAGAGGAAAGCTGAGATTAAATTAATATCTTCTAGTATATATACAAAAATACGACTGGTTTGTGCTAGCCTGAAGAAGAAAAAAAAAAACAGTAATGCAATAGTAGTATAAAAAACATCTGGCTAATACACCTTTCCTTCTACACAGGAAAGCCAATGAAATCATTTCCTATTATATACACATGTGTAGTCATATTAAGATCAGTTGTCAGATTTTCAAATACATTATCCAAGTACTGACAGACCAAACTACCTTGATAAGCCCTTTCTACTGCACAACAAAGTTCTTTAACATGAGAAAAAACATCTTGGTTTTGTTGCATCTATATTAACCACAGATAAGGGGGACTTTGAATTCCTCTTTAGAAATTAAGAGGGAGACTTTAAATGTGCAGTCACACATTTAGATTAGCAAGAGACAGTGCAGAGTAAGAAACTAATTACAGAATGCAACTCAGAGACAGGGCTGGCAATTAGATCCAAAGGCAATATGAGTTGGGCAAAGACCAAAGTTGAAGTGAAGTAGTTTTGTATCTGCAAACATAACAGAGTACACCTAGAGCCTAAAAGAGTCTACCACAGGTTTGTGCTCTGATATACTGTGATACTGTTTATTGAGTTCCAGGTCTTCCTTTGGTTTATACTTTCACTACTATGCACAGCTGCTTTAAACACATGAAGAGATTTTGTCTTCCACAACTTGCCAATAACTTAACACTTGGAAAGAAGTTTCCCCTGAACTAAAAATAATTACAATAACAAAAAATGCAGTTAATAATACGGGTAATACTGCTGTCTGAAGTCCAAATAAGGACTACCAGCTTTAACCATGAGGGCTACTACTTTTACTACAGAAAGACTACAAAAATAGTGGACATGATTCTTCTACCACGTTCATTCATATGACACATCAAATCCAAAACATAAAACATCAATGATACAGTAAATCAAAACATACAGTTCTTTTCTTAAGACCTCTACAACAGCATCTGGATTTAGAAGAAGCAGTACTTTGCACATGTGCTACCAGATTCAAATTCAGATTTGGACTTGACCTTAAAAAAAAAAAAAAGTTCAATATTCTTGTACCCAATTTACTGAAGTGTGTCTCTATATTAGGAATACTTCCTAAAACAGACTTTCATCATTCCTACTATTCCAGCTCCAACTGCTGCTATCATCAAATTCTTTCACTGAAAATGTTAGCAAGGCTCTAGATGCAAAGGAAGATGCCCAAGATGATACAAAAGTAATAGCTGGTTCAGGCATGGCTTCTAAAAGTACTTGTGTTTTAGTGTTCTTCATGATCCTAAGATTCCACAAAAGCAGAGTTAACTTACTGGTTAACATTACTCAGCTCTTAAGACAACAGAAAACTGATTCAAAACCAGACTAATTTCACAGGTCCTGTCAGCTCCCCTCTGCGTTCAATCCAACATTAACAAGAATAACTGAATTCTTTTGCAGATCTCCTTAAATTATTATTATTTCTCATTATCTCTCGTCAGTTTACAAAGGAGCATATACCTGAAACAAACAGTTACTATATCATCTTCAACACAATTTAAGACCCAGCATGAGACACATTAGTAGTATTTTCACATGGGCTAGGCGTTCAGACTAATGAACTGGATTTAGGACTTTCTGTCTCCTCCGATTTGTTCACCATCTAGAAGGAGTCAAAGAGCCAGCCACGGAGTTCATATGACTGCTTGGGAGCTGACACATCTTATCCCCTATTTCTGCTACCATAAAGCAAAAGTCATCATAACTTTCTTTCTTACAATGTAAGCAGCAGAATCCAGTCTCTTCCTCTGCTCTCACAAGAGGGGTCAACCCACTGACAGAAACAAAACAATCACACATAGAGGGAACATGCCAGCTCCTGAGCTGAGCTGGAAACCAACCAACCAGCCTCCACTAATCCAAACAAATCCAGCATCAGCCACTCCGACTAGCACCCTCCCCCTGCAGAACCACAACAGGAAGTCTCTTCATCTACCAGGAAACATCAGCCAAATGACATTCAAGGAAAGGCTGGCAGAGGAAGAAATCACATGACAGCTAAGTCTTTCCTACACACCACTCACTCTCTTCCAATCCTAAACCCTCCTCGTCTACTGGCTGCCCCTCAAAAAATTTTTCTAACTTGAGAAGGGCAGGGACAAAAGGGATTGAGTACAGGAAGAAAGAAATTCAGCAACAATTGCCAGAACAGAGATTAGTAGGAAGTTCCACAAAGGTGGAAAGTACTTTTAGGTAGTCTTTGGACTGCTGCAGCTGAGGTTGCTAACAGGGTGCAAAGGTGGACTGGGAAGCACAGACACAGAAAAGGCACAAGGGGAAGAGGAAGGGAAAAAAACTGGAAAGAGGGCTTCTTCCTTTCTCGTAGCCATAATATAGGAAGTCATAATATAGGAGATCTCACACGAAGGAAAAGACAGACAGACTGGAAGGATAGAGGATGACAGGACTGGTCAGACCAGAAAGCACATGGCCATAGAAACAGGGAAATGGGCTTCATGGGTGACAAGAAGGAGCTGGGAGGGGGGAGGGAGAGAAGAAGGGGAGAAAAAGGGCCGGGGGGGGGGGGGGAGGAGGCCCAAGGGAGGAAGACAGGGAGCATCAAGAAGGAAGTAGCAAGGCTTGAGGCCAGAGCGGGTGAGCTGGCACTCGCCTGCCTACTCACCTTGATGCACTGCGACATTGCAGCCATGCCCGTCGCAGTAGACAAGCGGGTTCTCGGCCCAGCCCCTCTCGTCGGAGCACACGCAGCAGCCGCCGATCATCTCCTTCATGCTATTGGAGAACTCGCCCTCCAGTGACACAGGCAGCAGCAACGGCTCGCTAGAGACCATCTAAGGGTTAAAAACACCGTCGTCAACGACACACACGCACACACGCGCTTTACCCCCTGCCTGCCCCCTCCCCCGGCGGTGTCTCCCCTCAGTCACTCAGCCGCCGCCGCCGCCACCGCCGCCACGGCAATGATTTAGGGCCCATGACCGCCAGCTGAGAGCCTCTTCTCGCCCCCGCCCGACCAACCGGCCAGGCTGTATCAGTCACGCAAGCAGGCAGGGGCAGCCCGGCGGCGGTACACTGAGGAGGACACCACACAGCAGGCAGACAGGCAAGAGAGCGGGGCCGGCGCGCAGGCGCACTGCGCGCCCCCGCGGGGAAGGCCTCGGCCTGGGCCTCCTCGCGATGGTTCACGAGCCGCCCATGGAACGTGAGCCGCGGATGAGCGCGCCCCCCCCCCCGCAACGGCTCCAACCG